AGATTTAAAATTCTTTCACCTAGAGAACATGGCAAATTGTTTTTATTTATTTTTTAATATATAGAATTTTTTGACTGGGGTGTTAAACAGAGAATCATCTTTGCTTTAATATGGGGCAAACAAAGGTTCTGTTAGTTAATGTGTTTTAATTAGAAGAACTCAGTGAATCTCACATAAAGACTCAGCCTGAGTGCGCAGCGACACGCTCACAAAGCAGTCTCTCAGGAGGAGAGTTTAGTCACTCACACAGAGTTGGACAGACCTGTTCAATAACAACATTCTGGACATATATTTAATATAAAGTTATGTTTTACAGACCAAAGTCTCTGGTAGTTCAGGAGAAAAGTGCAGGAAAAGAGGAGAAGTCAGGAGTGATCGCTGCAGCAACTCCAGTCGAGCCGGTTCGCTGCTTCAACCAAAATTGCTCTCATTGAAAGTCCCGCCCTGTCCTGCTCTGATTGTACAAAACGGCTCTGGACTTCGTCTGATTTGTTGAAGGCTGTGTCCATCTAATCCTTATATCAGGGTCCCGCTGTGGCGCACCGAACAACGATCCATTCACACCAGTGCCGCTGGATTCTTTTTTCTTTTTATTTTTTTAAGACATCAGGTCGCATTTGCGACTAAACTGGTTGCACTCTAGAGCCCTGCTAACTGTTGTTTTGACAGACAACCAGGTACAATCTTAGGTACGCAAGGGAGCTTTATGATATTACATCTGGTGTGCGTTTTCCTTTTTTGYCCGRGCATGCGTACCTGCGCACCGCTTATGTGCACCTCTGTTTATGTTGTCCAGATGGAAGATTTCTGGTTCCCCTGTGGTATGTTACTCCAAAATCTGGCAAAATGAAAATAATCAAATCAATAACATTAATGTGTGTGTTAGTTGGCTGATTCATACGTTTTTAATATTTTTTCCCCAAAACTCTTAAAGCACACAGCTTTTCCCTTGTTGTTTAACTTTTATTTCAAATTCTCTTGAACTGAACCTTTTTATTTTTTGGCACACTGATGTGACTTTTCTTATGTAATGACAGTAGTTTCATTTTCATGTTGTTTTTATGTTTTATTGTTTTCTGTAGCTCATTTAATTCTGTCTCATAWAC